CGGGCAAGGCCGCGGCGGCCCAGGGCGACGCCGCGGCCGCCGACGCCGCGCGGCGCGTCGCCGCGCACCTCGCGGCCTTCGTGGGCCGCGTCGCCGCGCGCGGCTCGGACGCGCCCGCGGCGCCGTGGGACGACGGCGACGTCGAGGCCGCCGTGGCCCTCTGCGACGAGGCGCGCGACGGGCCCGTGCGGGGCCACGGCACCGTCGCCGTCTGGGCGCTGCTGCGGCGCGTGGAGCACCGCGGCGCGGCCGCGCGCGGCGGCGCGGCCGCGCGCGTCCTCGCGGGCCTCGGCCTGCGCCGAATTCAACCACTGGTTTGGGTGGTCCTGACCAAACTTGAGAATTCTCTAGCTCGGTCAAATCGAAGTCGATTCGGCTGATTTTTGGACGAATCGATTGCTCTCGTCGAGTTCTCGAAGCACGGCCGAAGAATCTGGCGCAATCCGCTCAATTACGCGCACATTGAAGTCGGGTTGAAGATTTGAATTCTACGCAGGCCTCGGCGCCGCGGCGCGCGACGTGAGCGACGCCGTCGCCCTCGCGGCGCTGGCGCTCCTCGCGCGGGACCCCGACGGGTCCGCCGAGGTCGTCGAGGCCGGCGGCCTGCCCCGGCTCTGCGAGGCCGCGACGCGCGCGCAGGCGGCCGCGCGCGTGTCGCAGAAGCCCGACGTCACGAAATTCGTCCGCGTGCGCTGCCTCGCCGTCGCGGCGCTCTACGCCATCGTCTGCTCCGGCGCGGCGTCCGAGGACCGCATCGCCGCCCTCGACGACCTGCCGACGCCCATCATGTTCCTGTTGGCCGCGGACGGCGCGCCCGAGGCCGCGGCGCCCAAGCCCGCGGCGCGGCGCCCGCTCGACGACGACGCCGCCGCCGGCGAGCGCGCGTCCCTCGCCCTGGCGCTCAAGTCCGGCGCCGTGCTCCTCGCCGTGGCCATGTGCCAGCAGTCGCAGCGCCAGCGCGCGTCGCTCGCGCGGCACGCGTCCGACGCTGTGCGCAAATCAACCACTGGTTTGGGACGTCGGGGCCAAACTTCAGAACTCTCTAGCTCGGTCAAATCGAAGTCGATTTGGCTGATTTTTGGACGAATCGATTGCTCTCGTCGATTTCTCGAAGCGCAGCGGAAGTGCTCGTGTCGAAACATTCAAATACGCGCACATTGAAGTCGGGTTGAAGATTTGATTTCCACGCAGGTCCGACGGCGCGCTCGAGGCCATGGTCGCGGACCTCGCGCGCGTCTCGGGCGGCTTCCTCGCCGCCGAAGACGTCGGCGCCGACGCCTGGGCGACGCCCCGCGCGGCGACGCTGTCCGCGTCCGTGCGGGCCATCGTGCTCCTCACGACGGGCCCGACGGCGCGGCGGCGCCTCGGCGCGGACGCGCGCCTCGTGGGCGCGCTCGCGCGCGTCGCCTACCACGGCGAGACCTTCCGCGGCGGCGGCGGCGGCGACGTCGCCGGCGGCGTCCGCGCGGTCACCGAGGACGCGTTCCGCGCGCTGCTCAACCTCTCCGTGGAGCCGTCCGCGCGCGTCGCCATCTGCGCCAAGGCGCTGCCCCTGCTCCTCCGCGTCGCCCGGTACGACGCGGCGCCGGACTTTGGATCGCCGGGCCGCGGCGCCGACTTCGGCGACTTCGGGCGCGCCGTGCTCGCGAACCTGCTCAGCGACGCGCCGTGCCGCGCGGCGCTCTACCGGCGCCGGCCGGCGTCCCGCGACCGACGTTCGAGAGATTTGTGGACCGGGACGACGATCGCGACCGACGCGCGCGGTAGGCACCAGCTCGCGGAAGCGTCCGCGGGCGTCGCGGGCCAGCGCGCGCTCGTGGAGCGCAAGAAGCGGCTGGGCTGGGGCGGCGCGGGCGGGTGCGACGAGCCCTTCCGCGTGGCCTTGGACGACGGCGACCCGCTCGTGCCGCCGCGCGTCCACGCGCTCCTCCCTGTGCCGAAACCAACCACTGGTTTGGGGGGTCCCCACCAAACTTGAGAATTCTCTAGCTCGGTCAAATCAAAGTCGATTCGGCTGATTTTTGGACGGATCGATCGCTCTCGTCGAGTTCTCGAAGCACAGTGAAAGAATCTGGTCCAAATCGTTCGAATACGCTCACATTGAAGTCTGGTTGAAGATTTGGTTTCGGCACAGGCTCCTCCGCGGGTCCGCGACGAACCTGTGGCAGGCCGCGGGGTCGCCGCTCGAGGAGGCGAACGCGACGCTCCGTTCGACGCGGCTCCTGGGCGGCGGCGCCGAGGACCCGAGCCGCTGGCGGCCGCCGATCAACCGCTTCGTGGGCGTCGACGACCCCGCGCGGCCGCGGCCGCCGAGCCGCGCCGCGGCGTCGCCGGGGCCCCTCGCGAGGCTCGACCGGCCGCCGGCCGTCGCGCTCTTCGACGACGGCGCGTCGCGCGAGGGCGGCGACTCCCGCGCCGTGAGCGACCTCGGCTCGCGCGACTCCGCGCCGCGGCGGCCCCGCGCGGGCGAGGCGGGCCGCCTCGCGCGGTCGCTCGGCCGGCCCGGCGACGCGGTCGCGCGCCTCCAGCGCGAGCAGGCGCGGGACGCCGCCGGGGGCCTCGACGACTCGTCGACGACCAAGGGCAAGAAGCTCGCCGCGGCCCTGGCCGAGGACGAGGCCGCGGCGGGCGCGCGCGCGGGCCGGCCCGCGGCCGCGGGCGCCCGGGGGCCCGCGGCGTCCTGGGTCATGCTGTCGCCCACGGAGACGGCGGAGCGCGAGTGGTTCCACTTCGCGGGCGACGGCCGGCGGCGCACGCTCGGCGGCGACGCGCCGCGGCTCGCCAAGTGGGGCCGCGTCGCCGGCAGCCGCGTCTGCGACGGCATGTTCAGCGAGCGGCGCTGGGACCCGGACGACCGCGAGGACGAGGGCGGCTTCTACTTCTACCACCGGCCCAAGACGCCCTGCGCCGCGTCGGCGCCGTCGTCGCTGCTCCACCTGCCGCCGCCGGACGCCGTCGCCGCGCTCGGGCCCGGCGCGCTCCGCGACGGCCCGGGCCTCGGCGCCGCGCCGCCGCCCGCGGCGCCGCCCGCGGTCCTGCCGCCGTCGGCGCCGCGGCCGCCGGACGCGCCGCGGCCGCCGGACGCCCGGGCCGGCGCGCCCGGCGCATGCGGCGCCGCGCCGCCGCCGGGCCACGTCGCGCCCAGGGCAGCACAAGAGAGCGAAATTCCCAACTTCAAAGGCTCTGATCTCGGCCATTTTCCACTCGTTTCGGCTGATTTTTGGACGAGCGATCATCTCTCGGAACGGTCTCGAAGCGTGGATGTTTTTTTTGTTACGCACGCGCGCGGAACACTCACGTTGAAGCGACGTTGAATCACTCTTGTGCTGCCCAGGTCGCGCCCGCGCCGCTCACGCTCGTCACGGGCCAGCCGCCCGAGCCCGGCGACGACGCGCCGAGCGACGCCGACGAGTCCGACGAGGAGGAGCCCTTCGTGCTCGAGGGGTCGACGTTCAACCAGCGCCAGTACCAGACGCGCGACTGCGTCTTCGAGGACACGGACAAGGTCTGCGACGGAGCAGGAAAAGAGTGATTCAAGTTCTCTTCAACATGAGTGTTCCGCGCGCGCGCGTTCCGGAAACAGCATCCACGCGTCGAGAGCGCTCCGAGAGATGATCGCTCGTCCAAAAATTAGCCGAAACGAGTGGAAAACGACCGAGATAGGAGCCTTTGAAGTTGGGAATGTCGCACCCTTTTCCTGCCCAGGTCTGCGAGGCCGCGTGCGCGGGCGACTGGGCCAAGGCGCTCGAGCAGCGCGCGTTCGCGACGTGCGTCGCGTCCGCGGAGCGCGAGGTGGCCACGGCCGAGGGCCGCCTCCACGCCGCCGCCGTGCGGAAGTCGGAGGAGCGCGCCGCGGCGCTGGCGCTGGCCAAAGAGGCCGCGGAGCGCCGCGCGGACGAGGACGACGGCGACGACGACGACGACCTCGACAGCTTCGAGCGCGAGGCCAAGGAGCGCGACGCCTTCAAGGACGTGCCCGACGAGGTCCACGTGCCGCCGCCGCCCGCGCCGCCCGCGGAGCCCGACGCGGTCTTCGCGGCCGTCGCCGCCGCGCTGTCGCGGTCCGACTTCCGCAAGATCTGCTACCTCTTCGACCACTACTGCGCGCTCCAGGCCCTCGGCGCGCCGAAGAAGGCGGCGCGCCGGAGCAGCCGGGGCGACCGGGGCGACGACGACGCCGCGGCGGCCGCCGCGGGCGGCGACGACGACGACGCCGCGTCGCGGAGCTCGAGCTCGTCGTCCGACGACGACGGCGGCGACGACGCCGCGCCCAAGGGCGGCGACCTCTTCTTCCTCCACGAGCAGCACCTCCTCGCCTGCCTCGGCGACCTGGGCGTGCTCGGCCAGGCGACGGCCGCGCAGGCGCGGCTCGCCGACGCGCAGGCGCGGAGCATCTTCCAGCTCGCGACGGGCACGCAGGCGACGCGGCGGCGGGGCAACGTCACGGCGACGACGACCTTCCTCCCCGGCGCGGACCGGGGCGGCCTGGGCCTCGCGCCGAGCCAGCGCGGCGGCCAGGGCGTCATCCTCGGCAACGCCGCGGCCGCGGCCGTCAGGGCAGCACAAGAGAGCGACATTCCCAACTTCAAAGGCTCCTTTCTCGGTCGTTTTCCACTCGTTTCGGCTGATTTTTGGACGAGCGATCATCTCTCGGAACGGTCTCGAAGCGTGGATGCTTTTTCAAGAACGCGCGCGCGCGGAACACTCACGTTGAAGCGACATTTAATCTCTCTTGTCCTGCCCAGGCGGCCGTGCTCCCGGGCTTCGAGGTCGACCGCGAGCATAGCGTCGCGCACCCGGGCGGCCCCGGCGGCGGCGACGACTCGCAGGACGACGCGAGCCACGGCGACGCGTCGACGGTGGGGTCGCTCGCGTCGCCGGACCCCCGGAACCGGCCCGCGGGCTCGTTCGACGACGCGCCCGGGACGACGACGACGACGACGACGGCGACGACGGCGACGACGACGGCCCCGCCGTCGACCCGTCGCTCGTCGCGGCGGCGGCGCTCGCCGAGGGCGGCGGCGGCGGCCTCATCACCGCGAGCCGCCGCGCGTCCGCCGCGCGACCGCCGAGCGCCGAGGGCACGCCCGACGGCTCCGAGGCCGGCGACGACCGGCCCGCGGAGCGGAAGAAGAAGAAGACCAAGGCCGAGCGCCAGGCCGAGGCCATGCTCAACTTCGCCATGTCCACCGCGGGCATGGGCGGCGGCCGCGACCGCGCCGCGTCGGGCGACGTCGACCGGGCCGCGCCGCCGCGGCTCGACCGGGCCCGGTTCGTCGAGGTGCTCGTGCGCGTGGCCCTGCAGCTCTACATGGGCCTCAAGCCGCCGCCGCGGCCCGCCAAGGCCATGGCCATGCTGCTGCAGCAGGTCGCGCTCCGCGCGCCCCGGGCCGCGCTCGAGCCGCGCGACGGCTTCCGGTCGTCGCTCTCAGGGCAGCAAAAGGGTGATTCAACGTCGCTTCAACGTGAGTGTTCCGCGCGCGCGCGTTCCGGAAAAAGCATCCACGCTTCGAGGCCGTTCCGAGAGATGATCGCTCGTCCAAAAATCAGCCAAAACGAGTGGAAAACGGCCGAGATAGGAGCCTTTGAAGTTGGGAATTTCGCACCCTTTTGCTGCCCAGGTCGCTCTTCTACACGCGGGACGTCGAGCGGGGCCTCGGCGCCCACACGCGCGAGCTCCAGCGCCTCTTCGTGAGCCTCTCGACGAGCGACGACGACGCGAGCCACGTCCGCGCGCACGTCCGCGGCCGCGCGCGAATCACCCCTTTTGCCCGACGTCCGCGCGCGCGCGATCGAGCGGTCCGGACCGCGGCTAGAGGACACGCGAGAAGCGCGCGCGACGCGTCGAACCATCGGCTCCGATGCGACCGAGCTCGAGAGTCCCGGAGCGCGGCCCCGACGTCGACGCGCGACGGTCGACGCCCGCGCAGGTCAACGGCCACCTGTCGCTCGAGAAGTGGCTCGCGTTCCTCGAGGACGCGGACCTGGACCGCACGTCCTACCTGGACCTGCCGCCGGACGCGGCCTACCACGCCTTCTGGCGGTCGCGGCCCATCGCGCCGGACTCGCGGTCCGCGGACGAGGAGCCGGGGACGCAGCGCTACGTCGACTTCCTCGAGGCGCTCTGCCGCCTCGCCGACGCGGCGACCGTGCCGCCCCTCGTGCTGCGGACCCACCCCCTCGACGCGGAGCGGGCCATCGAGGACGAGGCGGCGAAGATCCGGCGCCTCGCGGACGAGGCCGCGGCCCGGGAGCGCGCGGCCAAGGACGCGGACCTGCCCGAGTTCCACGTGCCCGACGGCGAGGGCCCGGCGCTCGCGAACCTCGTCCACGGCCTCGTCGCGCAGGCCAAGGAGGACGGCGCCGCGGGCGACGACGCGGACGCGGCGCCGCCGGACGGCGGCGACGACGGCTCCGTCGCGTCGACGGCGAGCTCGAGCAAGGCGAGCAAGGCGAGGAGCCTCCTGAGCCTCAACGAGCCCCCGAGCGACAAGAAGCGCGCGCGGCTCCTCGCGCGGAAGCTCGACTACCTCCTGCGCTACCTCCTCTGCCGCGCGGCGCTCAAGCTCGAGGGCGGCGCGCTGCCGGGGCCCAAGCCCCTCTGCCTCGTGCCCAAGTACCTGTCCAAGGCCCAGCTCGACGACCCCAAGTCGCGGGCGACCTGGGCGCCGCCGCCGCCGCCGGGCTCCGAGGACGCGAGCGCGAAGAGCGCCGACAAGGCCGCGCCGCCGCCCTTCTTCTCCTTCGGGGGCACGCCGCCGTCGCCGGCGGGCAAGCGCGCGTCGCGCGACAAGGACCCGCGGCCGAGGAAGGGGTCCCGCGACGACAAGTAAGCCAAGAAAGGGGAGGCAGGTTGAAGTGCAGGTTGGTTGAAACGCACCTTGACCTGCGCGATCGACGAGCCATAGACGCCTGATGCGATGAAGCTCTGAGCGGTCTATCTCGTGTCTATTGAGCACGGGCCGCTTCGCGTCGAGCTCGATCGTGCAGTGCGCCGGCAGCAAGATCCCGGTCCGCGACGTAGGCTATGGATCAGCAGCTCCAGGTCGCGCGCGCGCGCTGGCGCGCCGCGGCCGCCGCGTTCGGCGTCCTCCTCATGCTCATCTCGCCTCTCTCGATTCTGCACTTGAGGAGAAAACAGAGAACCGATGACATCGTGCTCGCGTCGCTCGTGCAGCTCGACGACTTCGTCGCGTCCGCGGACGACGTCGAGCTCGAGACGCTCGTGCAGTTCGACGACCTCATCGACGACTTCGCCGCGTTGGACGCCGCCGCGGACGACGCCGCCGCCGCGGACGACGCCGCCGCGGACGACGCCGCCGCGGACGACGACGCCGCCGCGGACGACGACGCCGCCGCGGACGACGACAACCTCGCGCTCGCGAGCGCGACGGACGAGTACGCGACGACGGCGACGTGCGGCCAGCACAAGTCCCCGAACCACGACCGCGTGCCGGACTGCACGCACTGGGACCAGGGCAGCTGCGGCAACGCGTGCTGCGTCGCCGAGATAGACGTCGCTGGCGGCGTCGACGCGACGTACCTCGCGCTCAGGGCGTACCTGGAGTCCGGCGGCGGCGACGGCGGCTACGCCAAGGCGTCGAAGCGCGACGCGTCCGGCCACGTCTCCGAGGACGACCAGGGCGACTACCCGTTCGGCTTCGACCCGCCGCTGCCGTGGCGCTTCACGACGTCGGCGACGCACGCGACGTCCGGCGGTTACGTCGACGCGCTCTACTTGTCCGTCGGCGAGACCGGGAGCGGGTCCAAGGTGCGCATGTCGTCGACGAGCACGATCAACGGCGCGCTCGGCGACATGGGCCAGAACTACAAGAACCTCGCCTTCCTCTGCGATGGCCTGGGCTGGAGCGCGCCGACCATCAAGTTCGGGTGCGGGTACCGGTCGTAAAGCGCGTCGCGTGGCACGGGCGCTGTTCAGACCACGCGGGGGTTCGCGGGCCGGGACGCGCGAAGGCGCCGCCGGGTGGACTGCGAGGGACCGAGCTAGGCACGCACATGATGAAACATGACGAGGACCACAGCGCGGGACGTGCATCTTGCTGCCCGCCGTCGTCTCGCGACGGCGGCGAACCACGATCAGATCTCCTTCGTCGCCTACGCGAACTACACCCTCGTTCCCGGAGAGGAACTCGACCTCGACCGGTTCAAGGATGGCTTCCAGGACACGCTGCTCTCCTCGATATCGACCGGAGACGCGCAAAGCGCGCTCGACGACCGCGCGACCGGCACGTCGCTCGCGTCGGCGGCCATCGACGAGGCGTCGAGCGCGGCTGGCGACCATCACTGGAAGCACGGAGGTCGCGGTTACCGAAGCTCGCGCGACGACGGACGCGCTCGTCGTCGAGTGCCCCGCGGGGACCATTTCCGCCGCCGGCGAGAGCGACTGCACGCCGTGTTCGCGCGGGACGTACTCGGACGCTCTCGGCCAGACGAGCTGCAAGCTCGCGGAGCCCGGCACGTTCGTGCCCGTCGAGGGCGCCTCGGCCGCGACGCCGTGTCCCGTCGGGACGACGTCGGGTGCTGCGGCGTCATCTTGCGCACAGTGTCCGCTCGGCTACTACAGCAATCTCACCGGCCAGTCCTCGTGTCAGCTCTCCACGAGGCGCTCGAGCGGCACGCGGAATCGATGGTCCAGTTTCAGAAGCTCGAGGCGCGGGCGAACGACCCGACGCTGGAGAGCGTGCGGTTCCTCTACGAGGAGTTCAAACCGAGCTGCTTCATGTTCATGGTCTACGAGGTCTCCCGCCGCATCTTCCTCACGGGGTGCCTGTCCATGTTCGTGCCCGATTCCATCTCCCAGATCGCCATCGGGCTCCTCGGCAGCCTCATCTCCTACCGCGTCTTCAGCCACTACGAGCCCTACGTCGAGGAGGACGACGGGGTCGTCTCCGAGGTCGCGCAGACGGAGCTCGTCCTCGTGTTCTTCTACGCGCTGATGGTGTTCGCGACGGACAATCTCGAGCAGCACGACGGCGTCTTCTCGGGCAAGGTGTTCGCGAGCCTCCTCGTCGTGCTCCTCGCGTCCACGCTTCTCATTGCACTCTGGCTGATCATCCTCGCGAACTTTAGCGGCGACGAGTTGCGCTCCTGCTTCGTGGGATCGCGGCGCGGCCTCCTCGACGTCGGCCGCGCGCTGTCGGGGCTGGTCACGCCGAGGAGCCCGAAGGACGGCGGCGGGGGGGACGTCCCCGTCGAGGCCGGCGCCGTCGAGGCGGAGGCCATCGCGCGGATCTGAAACCCTACTTGTATGTGAACTCCCACTGGCATCATCAAAATGGTCGCCGCCAAGAAACCCACCGCCAAGAAGCCCGCCGCCAAGAAGCCCACGGCGAAGAAGCCGGCCAAGAAGTAGACGCGCTCATCGCGTTCAAGACTTCCTGTGCGACGACGCACGACGACCGCCCGCTCTTTCCGAATCCCACGTTCCCCGGCGCGCAAGCAAGCAAGCACATACTAGTACACCCCCAGTACGTAATCCAAATTAGCGCCTGACGAACTTGAACGAACGAACGAAAGAACAACCAGTGGCATGTTAATCCCATGTATGCACCGTTTGTTTCTACCTCCCCGATGCGCCCGAGAGAGGGAGACCCGGGCGCTCCTGGGGGAGGCGCGCCGTTCGAAGCGAAAGGGGCAGGCGGCGTTTAGCGCCGGTGGTCATCGCCCCCGGACGAAGGTGGAGAAGGTCATGCCGTCGGGCGTGTCCGGCCGGTACTCGAAGGGCGAGCGCACGAGCGTCGTGTCGAAGCTCGGCGACCGGAAGGACGCGTCCCGGGCCGGCCGCGCGCCGGCCGCGCGGGCCGCCGCGTCGACCTTGGCCTCGAGGTCCGCGACGTCGTCCGCGACGTCGTCGCCGCGCTTGAGCCGCGCGCGCGACGCGCGGAGCTGGCCCCGGACCTTCTTCACGTAGGCCGCGTCGACCTCGGAGGCGGCGACCAGGCAGGCCTGGCCGGAGACGTCGTCGCTCCCGCGCACGTAGGGCACGGCGAGGTAGTCGAGGAGCTCGGGCGCGCCCGGGAAGAGCACGTTGTCCGCGACGACGAGCGCGCCGTCCGCGAGGAGCCCCCGCGCCCGCAGGGCCTCGAGGTCCCGCGCGTAGTCGGGCTTCCAGTGGTCCATGAGCACGGCGTCGAAGGGCGCGCCGAGCCGCGGGAGCACGTCGGACGCGTTGCCGAAGACGGCGTCGACGCGGCGCAGCGTCGCCGCGTCGAGCGCCTTCGCGCGGATGCGCAGCGACGCGTCGTAGGTGGTGCGGTCGACCTCGATGGTCGTCAGCGTCGCGTCGCGCGGCATGGACCGCGCGAGGCGGATCGACATGTAGCCTAAAAACGTGCCGATCTCCAACACGCGCCGCGGCCGCTTCCGGCGCACCGCGGCCTCGATGAGGTCGCCCTTCGCGGGGCCCATGTTCATCATCCAGCTCGTCTCCGCGCACCGGTCCATGGCACCGAGCACGGACGCCGCGTCGCCCGGCGTCGCGTACTTGTCGACGAAGAACTCCATGTCGTCGGAGGTCCAGAGCTGCCACATGGCCGACGCCGGCGCACCGACGATCGACGGCGCCGCCGCGAGGAGGCGGCGCCGACCGATCGGCACGCGCGCGGCCATGGCGAGGGCGGCGACGGCGACGGCGCGCACGTGCGGCACCACCATCGTCAGTGATCGATTGTGCACACCAAAGGCTCAGCAACTTGGCGTTCAACCAGCCGTCGGCGCGGCTATGCGCGCGGATGTTCCGCTCCGCGCGCGGTTCCCCGACCTGCGCGGCGTCGTCCCTAGCTGACGTGGTTTATCGGTGGCGGCGCGCGGCGCGCGCGGCGCCGCGCCGCCCGTCGCCGCCGGCCGTCGGTCCGCGCGGCGGCGGCGGCTTTCCGCGGCTCCCTAGAGGAGCGACATGGACGTCATGGTCATGGACTGGACCTCGTCGGCGAAGGCCTCCTCGGTGATCTCCTCGATGATGGCGTCCATGGACATGGTCTGGTTGATGACGGCCGTGCAGATGATCTTCTTGACGCCGAAGGCGACGTCCTCGAGCTTGCAGACCTCGGACCACTTGAGGCCCTCGCGGACGAAGGTGGACTTGATCTTCTTGAAGAGCTCCTCGAGGTCCTGCTCCGCCTCCCAGGGCTTGATCTCGAGCGCGCACAGTGACCGCTGCGCGACCTCCTTCTTCGCGAGCTTGGCCATGGCCTTGGCCTTGGCCTCCTCGAGCTTTTTGGCGGCCGCGGCCTTCTCCTCCTCCGTCTGCTCCTCGTCGTCGCCCCAGAAGTCGTCGTCGTCGTCCTCGGCGGCCGGCTCGGCCGCCTTGGGCGCGGGCGCGGGCGCGGCCTTGGGCGCGGCCTTGGCGGCCTTGGGCGCCGGCGCCGGCGCCGCGCCGCCCGAGGACCCGGCGACGAGCGCCAGGCACTTGACGCCCGTCAGCGCCGCGATGTGGATGTACCAGCGGTAGGCCTGCGGGAACTTGCCCGCGTCCGGCAGCGAGATCTTGCCGAAGACCTCGACGTCCGCGGGGCTAAAGGCGTAGCCGGACACGTACGAGTGCGTGAGCATGAACGCATCGACTTCCTCGACGGTGGAGAGGCCCATGGTTGCTGGCGGTGGTGTTGTCGGCGGCGTCGGCGGCGTTTTAGGCGATGCTTGATGGCCCGGGGTGTGCAGCGACACGCGACGCTCGACGATGGAGGCCTCGATGGTCGCCCGGCCTCGTCGGATCACGCTCGCGTCGCGACGCGGCCTGGCGGAGCCCTGCTAGTGCGACGACGCGTCCCGGCGCCGCCACGAGCCGCGAGGTAAGGGTCGCAGGGCGCGCCGCCGCGGCCGGGCCGCGCGTTGGTCTTCCAGCCGCGGCCGCGGCGGCCTGGCGCGCCGAGCCCGAGGGCCCCGGCCCTTGATTATCCTGGGCGCGTCGCCCGTCGCCCGGCGGCGTCGGCGACGCGCCCGCGGCCGGTCTTCTCGTCAGGGCTGCCGCCGGCTGCCGCCGCGCTGGGGCAGCCCCGCGCGGGGGCTCAGCGCCGCCCAAATTCCCGTCAACGAAGATGCGCTCCCGTCGAAGCGCGGGCGCGCCGCCAAAGCTTACAATCCACTTGAACTAGCTTTTCTTCTTTGGGCTCGTTTGATGTCGTTCGGGGCTTTGCCTGACTTGTCTTTGGGTTGCAGTCAAAGGCTGCCGATCCTCTGGGGCTGATGATGCACGCGATTTCGTCGCAGTTTGTGGATCTTTATTCAAGGTTCCAGTTGTCATCTTCACGAGCCAGAGCTTCGCTGGGCGCGTCGCACGTAACTGCAACTTTGGCCTTGAAGTTGGGAACCGCGAACAGTGAAGCGCGATAATCAACCCAGCCGAGCTGCTCGACGCATTGATCCGATCTTTGCGTAGAATGGCGCCCGCCCGCCCCCTTCTCGTCCTCCTGCGCCTCCTGACGCTCCCCGCGGCCGCCTTCGTGTCCCCCGCGGCCAGCGCGACCAAAAAATTGGCCCCGTTGTGCGCGCAGAACAAAGATTCGCCGGAACGGGATCCGATCACGGCGCGCGCGGCCTTCGACGCCCTGTCGGCCGACGCGACGACGGACTCGCTCCTCCGGGGCCTGCGGGAGCGCGCGGAGGAGATGCGGCGCGCCGAGCGCGACGAGGCGCGGCGCGAGGAGATGCGCGCGACGGCGCTCGACCACGCGTGGGTCGTGCTCTTCCGGGGCGACGAGTCCGGCGACGGCATCCACAGCCTGTCGAGCAACGGCCGCGAGATCGTCCTCGCCTTCGAGGCCGCCGACGAGGCGCGGCGCTTCGCCCTCGTCCTGCGGGCCCAGGGCTTTTTCGAGCCGACGCCGCACCGCATGGAGATGTCCGCGCTCGAGCTCTTCTGCGAGAGCGACGAGCGCGTCTCGCTCCTCCAGATCCCCAAGGGCACGTGCATCGTGCCCCCGGACGAGACCGTCGACGACGTCGAGTTCACGCCCAGCGCCGCGGCCGCCGCGGCCGCCGCCGACGGCGAGGGCGGCGTGCTCACGGACGCGCAGCTCGCCGAGGCCCGCCAGCGCCTCGAGCTCCTCTTCAGGTGAAGCCGGGGACCGCCGCGTCGCCGCGGGGTTCTCCGCCCCGCGGCGCCGCGGCGCCCCCGCGAGGCCCGCGCGCGGAAGCGCGCGGCGCCCGCTCGCCGCGCTCGTCCGTAACTGGAATTTGCTTGATTTCCGAGGTCTTCGCCCGCGGCGTCGGCGTCCCGCGCCAGCGGGGTCGCGTTGCGGAGGACGTCGCGGCGCGGCGAAGGACGAGTTCGGCGAGGCGTCCGAGGTGCGAGGCGCCGGCTCGTCCGAGGTCTCGTCCGGCGCGCCGGCCGCGGCCTCGAGTCGATCGAGGACTCGATCGCTTCGGGTCTTCGCCACAAAGCCACGATGCCCGGCCAGGCGCCCCCGGCCCTCCGCGCCCCCGGCGCCCCCGTGGGGCCGGCCCTCCGCGCCCCCGGCGCCCCCGTGGGGCTCTACAACGAGGGCGCGACGTGCTACCTCAACGCGCTCCTCCAGCTCCTCTTCATGCTCCCCGTCCGCGAGGCGATCCTCAAGTGGCGCCCGGACGAGTCCGACGACGCGTCCGGCGACGACGCGTCCGGCGACGACGCGTCGCCGCCGGCCGCGCCGAGCGCGGATCTGAAGATCACGGGCGAGCTCCAGCGCCTCTTCGCGCGCCTCGTGCTCGGCGACGCGCGCGCGGCGTCGACGCGCGACCTCGTCGCGGCGTTCGGCTGGTCGGGCGCCGAGGCGCTCGAGCAGCAGGACGTGTCCGAGTGCCTCAACGTCCTCTGCGACCGGGGCTTCCACGGCTCGGCGCGCGCGGCCCTCGACGAGCTCTGCGGCGGGACGACCGTGACCGTGCTCGAGCGCAAGGACGGGACGCGGCCGCCGCGGTCGGGCGAGCCCGCGCCGCCCGGCGTCCGCGACGGCGGGGAGCGCGCGGCGAAGAGAGGGGGGGGGGGGGGGACACGCGCGTCCCGCGTCGCGGAGCGCGGGCGGGATCGGAGCTCGACCGCAGGTCAAGTTCCTCGAGCTCCACCTCGGCCTCGACCGGCCGACCGTCGAGGCCGCGCTCGCCGCGTACTTCGCGGGCGACGACCCGCGCGGATTCCCACCCGACTTCGATGCGAGCGTCTTCGAGGCGTTCCGCCGTGCTTCGAGAGCTCGACGAGGGCCATCGATTCGTCCGAACGCGAGCCGAATCGACGCCGACGAGAGAGTTCTCGAGCGCGGCGGGTTTCCCCCGGACCGGTCGTTGGACCCCACGCAGGCGACGACGTCGAGGTCGACTGCGCGGCGACGGGCGAGCGCGTCGCCCACTCGAAGCGCGAGGCGATCGCGTCGCCGCCCGGCGCGCTCTTCCTCACGCTGAAGCGCTTCGCCATGGACTGGGACGCCATGGACCGCGTCAAGGACGAGCGGCCCGTCGACGTGCCCGCGCGGCTCGCGCTCGGTGGCGCGGACTACGGCCTCTGCGGCGCGCTCCTCCACGTGGGCACCTGTGCCGAATTCAACCACTGGTTTGGGTGGTCCTGACCAAACTTCAGAATTCTCTAGCTCGGTCACATCGAAGTCGATTCGGCTGATTTTTGGACGAATCGATCGCCCTCGTCGAGTTCTCGAAGCAGAGTCGAAGAGCTCGCATCGAAACTTTCAAATACGCTCACATTGAAGTCGCGTTGAAGATTTGAATTCGGCACAGGTGGGCACGACGCACGCGGGCCACTACGAGGCCGAGGTCAAGGACCTGGCCACGGGCGCGTGGTGGACCTTCAACGACGACGCGTGCGGCGCCGTCGACGCGGACGGGAGCCGCCGCGCGGACGGCACGTCGGCCTACGTGCTCGTCTACCTCCGCGGGGACGTGCTCGACGAGCTCGCCGAGGACCGCGAGGACGCCGTCGACATGGGCCTGAGCGCCCAGGGCGTGCCCCGGGCGCTCAAGGACGAGATCCTCGTCGAGAACGCGGTGCTCCGCGACGCCGCGGCCGCGGCGGCCGCGTCGCGCGCGACGCTGGCCGTCGACGTGCGACTCTTCCCCGGCGCGCGGACGTGGCGGTCGGCGTGGCCCCGCGACGTCTCCGCGGCCGAGGCGCTCGCGGACGCGCGCGCGGCGCTCCTCGGCGACCGCGACGGCGACGCGCCGGAGGTCGAGTGCCGGCTGCGGGCCTGGGACGCGTCCCGGGCCTGCGGCTTCGGCGCGCCGCTGCCCGAGCGCGGCGCCGCGGCGGACGCGGGCGGCGGCGACGCCTGGGTCCTCGAGGTCCGCGACGTCGCGGGCCCGGCCTTCCGGGCCTGGGACCCGTCGTGCCTCGCCGTCGTCGTCGTCGACGTCGGCGGCGAGGCCGACGTCGCCGCGCCCCTCCCCGACCTCCGCGCGACGGACGCCGTCGCGGACCTCCGGGCCGCGGCCGCGCGCGCGCTCGGCGCCGGCCGCGCGCTCGCGGCGCCGCGGCCCGCCGGCCGCGGCGACTGGCTCCTCGACGACGACGCCGCGCTCCTCGGCGACGCGCTCCCGGCGCCCGACGGCCGCGGCGACGTCGTCCTCTACGCCGCGGGCGACGCGGCCGCGCTCGCGGCCTACGTCGCCGAGCTCGACGCGCCCGCCGCGTCCGCGGCCTGCGCGCTCGAGGCCTCCGACTCCGGCTCCGACTCCGACGGCTCCATGCCCGACATGCCGGGCCTCGAGCTCGCGCCGTCCGACGCCGCGGCCTTCCAGATCCGCCAGTAGGCGCCCGACCCGCCCCCGCGCCCGCGCCTCGCGGCGCGTCCGCCGGTGCGACCGCGCGCTCCCCAACCCCTGTTTGCGGAGCGTCCGCCGGTTCGACACCGCGTCCACGCGCTCCCGCACCGCCGTTAAGCCTAGTGGAACCAGAGCTTCAGCCGGTACGCGTCGACGCCGTTGAGGTAGTACTTGAAGAGCCGCTCGTCGCGCGCGAAGCCGAGCTTCTCGTAGAGCCCCAGGGCGACCTTGTTCGTGACCTCCGTCTCGAGCATGACCTCGTCGCAGCCGATCTCGCGCATGCGCTCGATGGACCGGCAGACGAGCGCGGTGCCGATGCCGTAGCGGCGGTACTTGTCGTTGACCGCGAGCATGGCGATGTAGCCCCGGTAGACGGCCTCGCCCATGGGGCTGTGCTCGAGCTCGGCCTTGCTCACGATGCAGGCCCGGTCTCGCCGCCGAGCTTCGCCAGCAGGCACAGGTTCGGCCAGTTCCGCACGAAGTAGCGGTACGTGAAGACGCTGTAGGGCTCGCTCAGGTCCTCGTCGACGAGCTTCATGACCTCGGGCAGCTGCGACTCGTCGACGTACTCGACCCAGTCCACGTTCGGGTGCCGCGACGCGCAGAGCTCCGCGCTCATGGCCCGCCGCCGCGCCTCGGCCGCCGCCAGCGCCTGCGCGGCCTCGGCGGCCTCGGCCTCGGCGAGCGCCGCCTCGGCGAGCGCCGCGCCCTTCTTCTTGCTCGGCTTCTTCTTCGACGGCATCGTCGCGCGCGCCGCGCGCCCGACGCTGCGGCGCGACGCGCCCGACGCTGCGGCGACCCACACCTCCCTCCTTCGTTGAGGGCAAGAAGAGCTTCAATAGACCATTACCGCCATCTCCTCCAGCTGCAGATGAGCTGCAGCCTCAATCGCCGCATCGCCGAACGGGAAAAGCACGCTACTTTTTAGCCCGGTCGTACTTGATCCGCACGACGCCCTTCTTGACCTTGATGCCGACGACCGTGTAGTCGCGGAGGGACCCCGTCGATTTGACGTGGGTCCCGCCGCAGGGGCACTGGAAGCCCGCGACGCCGACGACGCGCACCGTCGGGTCCTTGAAGACGGAAAAGTCGAAGTTCTGCTGGACCTTGTTGAGCTGCGCCTCGGCCCGCGCCTTCTCCATCATCTCGATCGTCGTCGCGATGTCCTCGTCGACCAGCCCCGCGAACTCGGCCTTCAGGCGCGCGACGAGCGCGTCGCGCTCCGCCGCGGGCACGTCCCCCTTGTACTCGACGTAGGGCGCGTCCAGAAAGTGGTAGCCCTTGGTCGGGGGCAGCGCGTAGCCCGCGCGGACCATCGCGCTGTCGACCATGTGGCCCGCCGTGTGGCACCGGCTGTACGCCTCGCGCGCGGCCGCGTCGACGGCGAGCTCGACGGCGTCGCCCACAGCAAAGGCGTCGGCGACGTCGACCGCCGCGCGGTGCACGACGACGCCCGTCGCGAAGTCGAAGCTGACCCGCTCGACGGCGGCCTCGCAGCCGTTCGCCGCGCTCCGGACGACGCCGACGTCCGAGGGCTGGCCGCCGCCCTGCGGGTGGAAGACGCTCACGTCGAAGACGAGATCCACGGCCGGCGCGCCGCCGGCGCCGGGCGCCGCGCGGCACGCGAGCACCGTCGCCGCGCAGCTCAGCTGAAAATTGCCCTCGTACGTGAGGTAGACGCGCTCCGTCGCCGGCAGGCCGGCCGCGTCGAACGCCGCGGGCGCGGGCGCCGCGGCGGCTGGCGCCTTGGCGGCCTTCGCGGGCGCGGCTTTGGTATTGCCGTTTTTCGCGGCTGGCGCATTCGCCGCCTTGGCTGCCGGCGCTGGCACCGGCGCTGGCGCCGCACCGCCTTGGCTGCCGGCGACGCAAAAGAAGTCCGTCAAGACGGCCAGCTCCTCCATCGCTGCGCACGAGATGCCAGGCGCAGGACCACTCTAGCTCGCTGAGGGGCAGCAAAGCAGGTCTCGCTTGACTTCAACTTTGACTTCAAGTTGAAGGTCGAATCGAGCCGGGGGCTGCCCGACCGAGAGCGCGCTCCGCGAGATGGTCGGCACGCCCATGCTGGGCGTCGAAGCACCGCGGTCCTTGCAGGCAGGCGTCGATTACGAATTCACGGTGGGCGGGTGCGAACGGGGGCGGCGGGCATCCGGGGCCGGGCGGGGGGTCCCCGGCGGGATGGGCGGGCGGGCCGCGTCAGAGGGAGTTGCCGCGGTCGAGGTCCGCGTGGGCCTGGTCGTCGATGGTGACGAAGCAGCGCTCGACCCAGGAGAGCTCCTCGACGGCGGTCGAGAGGCCGACGCGGAGGTCGTGCGTCTCGGAGACCTTCATGTCGTTGGCGACGATCATGCCGAGCTCGACGATGAAGTTGGGGCCGAAGTGGTAGGCGCGGATGGTGCCGAGGACGAAGCCGCCGTGGAACTTGGACGCGAGCTTGGAGAGCTCGCGGAGCTGGTCGGGCTCCGCGCCCTTGCCGACGATCTGCTCGATGTGGTCCCGGGCGATGTCCCACCAGGCCATGATGATGTAGATGGAGATGGCGATGGCGCCGCCCGGGTCCGCCCACCAGAGCGACGGCGCGAGCGACGCGACGCCGCACGCGACGACGGCGACGGAGTTGGACATGACGTCGTTCGCGTGGTCCTCGGCGAGGGCCAGCGCCGTCGACGACCGCTCGGCGACGGCGGCGCAGTAGGCCCAGAGCCAGGCCTTGGACAGGATCGTCGCGCCGAGGGACGCGAGCGTGTCGAACGACACGTCGAGCGGCGGCGGCGCGCCCGTCGCGCCTGAAAAAGGGCGAGTCAACGTCGCTTCGACGTGCGTGTTTCCCGCGCGCGCGTGCCGGGAAAAGCATCCACGCTTCGAGACCGTCCCGAGAGACGATCGCTCGTCCAAGAATCAGCCGAAACGAGTGGAACACGACCGAGCTCGGAGCCTTTGAAAGGTTGGGACGTTCCCGCCCCGCGTCGCGCCCTCGACGACGGAGCCGCCCGCGTCGTAGATGACCCCCAGGCTCCCCACGGCCATGAGCATGGCGCAGACGATGACGCCCACGGGCTCGAGGCGGCTCCGCCCCGCCGGGTACTCCTCGTCCGCCGCGAGGTGCGCCTTGCGCTCGACGACGAAGAGCACGAGCGTCTGCGCGAGGTCGAGGCACGAGTCGACGAGCGACGCGAGCACGGCGAGCGAGCCCGACGTGAGCACGTTGTAGAGCTTGACGCAGGTCAGCGCCACGTTGATCCAGAGGCTCAGCCGCGTGCACCGCGCCACGTGGGACTTCAGGACGTCGCCGTCGCCCGGGCGCGCCGCGACCGCGGGCGCGGCGAGGGCGAAGACCCGCGCCTTCCACGCCGGCTCGCCGCCGTCCGGCGCCGCGTCCTCGTCGTCGCCGTCGTCGTCGCCGTGGTGGCCCACCTCGATGGACGTCTTCATCGTCTTGGCCAGGGAGTGCTGCACCGGCGCATCCTTGCGGCTGAAGGACGAGAACGTCTCGACGCTCACGCGCCGCGTGTTCCCCGGCGCCGCGGGGACGTCGTCCTCCGTCCGCACGCTCCCGTAGGCGCCCGCCGCCAGTTCCATGGTCGCGCGGGGTGGGGGCAGCCGACCCGAAGCGAAGCGATTCAATTCTCGGCCGACGTTGTCGACAACATGAGGACCGAGCGGCGCGCGACGTCGCCAACCCGAGCAGACTTCCGAGCAGCGCCTTCGCAACGCCAAGCCTACTCCAGACGCGAGTCGCTTCGCGGCCGACGTTGCCAGTTAGGTCCAGCCCCCGGGCTCGCCGGAGAGGGGGACGGCGTCGTCGATGTCGTCGAGCTCCGAGGTGTAGAAGGAGGACCCGCGGCGCGAGAGCTGCTGGATGAAGGTCGGCTTCGACGGCGGGGCGTCGCCCGGCTCCTCGTCCGGGTCGTCGAGGATCGCGGACGTGGACGACGAGCAGAGGACGAGGCCCGCGTCGCAGGAGATCTGGCCGTCGTCGCGGTCGCCCGACGACGCGCAGAAGACGGACGCGCCGCCGCGCGGCTCGACGACGGAGAGGTCGATCTCGTGGGGCAGGAACGCGTCCTCGGGCCCCGACACCGGCCGCGCGGGCGCCGACGCCCAGGCCGCCTCGCGGCGCGCGACGTCCGTGACGCGCTCGATGACCAAGGGCCGCTCGGGCGCGGACGCGGACCGGCCGCGGTCGCCGCGCGGGTCCTCGCGCTCGTCCGCGGACCCGTCGAGCGCCGCGTCGACGCGGAGCTCGGGCAGGTCCGAGTAGCGCCGCGCGAGGGGCACGTCGCCCGCGGGGTGCCTGTCGACGGAGTAGCGCTCGATGGCCTCGCGCTCGCGCCGCGCGAGCTCGCGCGCGTGCGCCTCGTCGCGGCGCCGGAGCGCGACGTCGCCGGCGGCGCGCTGCGCGGCGAGGGCCGTCGCGTGGGCCGCGCCGAGCGCCCGCTCCCGGTCGTCGAGGGCCGCGCGGAGCGCCGCGCCGTGCGCGGCGTCGCGGTCCTCGCGGGACCGCTCGTGCGCCGCGACGAGCTCCTCGGCGTCGCGCTCGTGGCGCCGCGCCTGGCCCTCGAGGTCGCGCGCGTGGCGGTCGTGGAGCGCCGCGAGCTCCGCGCGCGCGCGGTCCGCGATCGTGCGCTCGACCTGCTTGCGCTCGCGGCTGTGGTCGTAGTCGCGGTCCCGCAGCATGCGCTCCGCGGCCGCGGCGCGCGCCGCGTCGGCCGCGGCGTGCGCGGCCGCGGCCGCGGCGAGGGCGTCGTGGCGGAGCAGCGCCTCGTAGAGCTCGTCCTCGTGGGTCGCGACGACGGCCGCGACCGCGCGCTCGTGGCGCCGGGCCGACGCCGCGCGGTCCGCGTCGCGCCGCTTCTCCGCGGACGCGCGGTCCGCGTCGCCGCGGCGCCGCTCGCCGTCGAGGGACCGCTCGAGGGCCCCGACGCGCTCCGCCGCGGCGTCCTGCGCCGCGGCGACGGCCGCGGCGGCCTCGAGCCGCGCCGTGTCCCTCGTCGACCGCAGCGACGACTCGTGGTGCGCGGCGGCGGCCGCGAGCTCCGCGGCGTGGGCCGCCGCGGCGCGGTCCCGCGCGTCGCGCTCGCGGGCGACGAGCGCCGCGTGCTGCCCCGCGCGGC